TGTGACATTCATCACTTTCATTTCACAGTTGGATATTTCTTTTGAGACATGTAGCAGGTGACTTGGGGATGCACGTGCCCGGTATCTCCAGTCACCTGTTTATTCACTTGTCTGTTGTTCCTCTCGAAACTAGGATGTCTTAGGAAGAAGTAACAGAGCCTTAACTCAGTGCTCAATTAACTCTTTGACTGGCGCAGGCGTGTTTTAACACCCGGACGATGCCAGCCGTTCCCTGGCGTTGGCGTGTTTTAACGCTTTGACAATCTCTTCCCTTCTTTGCTCTCTTGGCATTCATCAACCAAAGACATATATATGATAGTTTTTGTGCTTGTTTGTAAAGAACCCTTGTACACTTTGTGGGGGTCTATATTACTGTCAGAACCCTCTGAGAAGGAAAAGGTCAGAAAATATTTCACATTCATTCAGTTTCACCATGTCTTCTTGCAGCAAGTGTCAGCGTGTTCCTACAGACCAGCTGGAAAGTGTTGTGAACGAAATTTGTGCTGATGATGATAGTGGCGATGAAATAATGATTCCTGAATTGGATGAAGTTGATAGTGACAATAATATAGTGATAGACAATGATCCACAAGACAGTAATCATGAACATTTACCTACCACGAGTGCGGTGCCCGACACGCCCATCTCATGGACGTACGGAGACATTGTACCAACAATAGTTCCATTTGCTAGTAGTTTCGGGATCAAAATTGATATAACACATAAAATGCATCCCTTTTCATGGATTAAAATTTTTTCTGGATGACGACTTGGTAAATCACATCACAACTGAAACCAATCGCTATTCTCACCAGCACTTCAACACACATGAGTTAAGCTCCTCACTCTCGAAAACACAATTACAATTATGTCACATCAGATGAAATCTGGACATACTTAGGAATTGTGTTCATGACAGGAATCGACAAACGCCCTGAAATTGAAGAATATTTGTCCACTAGGCCCCTATTTCACACTCCATGGTATGGACAAAACATATCTTTGCGGTTGAATAGTTTCATTCTATTCAGAAAGAACACGACAAACGAAAAATACAAGAAGAGAAATTACAAATTCAAAGATTTTATATTGGACTGTGTAGAAAAATGACTGAACCAAACAAACAGGTGGAGAGGGAGAAGAGTCAAGGAATGAAGTGGATGACGAATCTATTGCGTCAGACTCGAGTGCAGTCACGCCTCCGCCCTCGACCTTGAAAAGACCACCAGTGAAAGAGCCAGTAAATCGTCTAGAGGGTGGCCTGAAAATTCACAAAATGGTCCATGTTCCTCCCAGTAACAAGAAGAATGGTGCCCCGAGAAAGTGTCGCGTGAGTGCTAAGCACAAGATTAGAAAAGAAACAAATGTCATGTGTGCAGGCTGTGGTGTGGCTCTCTGCAAACTTTCATGTTTCAATGTTTATCACACGAAGAAAAACTAATAAAGAGGTATGGAAAGGCATTTATTGCATAAAATATTGTCTTTTAATTAGTTCCTGAAAATTTCGTTTTTAAAAACCAATTTTTGTTGAAGTTGTTTAGGAAAAAGTAACTACATGCATTTTAGCAACATAAGGTTTAAAGGGCCTGCCAGGACAGGGGTGGGATTTAAATACCCTTCTCGCCAGTCAAAGAGTTAAGCTGATCAATATGGCGCATCTATCACATTAATAGTGTCATGCTAATAAAGACTTGAAACTGCGAATTGGTGTTTGAGTGCTGAGTGTCCTACACCCAAGACCCCCCCCCCATAATCACCCAAGTCACGGCCAGTCAACACGACCTGAAAGGAGTTAGATTTCTCTACTGGAAATAAAATGGGTACACTTCTTTGTGGTCTCTCAGGACTGTAATGGTCCCCTGAAAGAATCCTGTGAAGATCTTATACCTGGTCTCCATGATGGTTTTAAGGGAGTCCCAGTCTAAAAGAAGAACAAGCCTGTGGCCTTTCAGCCGAGATTGCCAATTCTGCACCTGCCAGTGCTCTGTATGAAGCCCTGGGTTAAGGACCTTAATCCACTTGAGCAGCTCATCAGGATTCTTGGCAACTTTACAGGCATGGGGAGGTACCTGGCATCCATAGTCTTCAGCCTGGCCCCTGAATCCAGCATGTGACCACATTTTTTTTATTATTATTACTAGTGGGGTAGGACTAAGTCCCTTGTACTGCAGCCACTTCTGGCCTATTGTACCATTCCCTGATGATAGGTGAGGGTGATTGTGGAGCAGTTGGTGGAATGAAGATTGGCAGAGGAAACCTGTTGCAGCACTACTTTGTCCACCACAAATCCCACTTGACCAGACCCCGGGATCGAACCCAGGCCGCCGTGGTGGGAACCCAGCGACTAACCGCTTGAGCTATGGCGTGGCCCTTTGACCAGCTTACACATGCATAAGTGCAACTGTCTCCAGCCTGAAGGATCTCAGGTTTGGCAGTTCTCCTTTCGGAGTCCCACGTAACACCCTTCCCATTTCTTCAAGGATGTCGTCTTGGTTGTCCTCTGTCAGCTTATCTTCAGGATAGTTTTCCTTGAACATAACTATCTAGATATTGGTCAGAACCTCCTTTTGTATACCTGGTCCACTGTAGTCCCTGGGCCTTTTTGGAGGACTGACCTTTTCCACAGGGGTGGTACCCTCAGACCTTGGCCTTGTATAAGTCCCAGTTGGGGTTTCTCCCAGCTTAGACATGCCTATGATTCCAGAATTCTGCATTCCCTTGGTTCATTCCTGGCTTGCCCTTGCTTTTTTCAGCTTCCAGCATCCAGACAATTTTACCTTCACTACGTGGAGCCTGCCTACCTTCTACTTCTTCAGGTATGCTAGAACTACTAGCTTCCTGCAGTTGTGTGTCAGAACTGCTGACTCTTTGATGTTACCTTTGGCAGGTTTCTCAGGACTCGTTTGTCCCTGCCCTTGACTGAAACCTCAGCAGGGGGTTTGCTGGTTAAGCCAGCCCCTCTTGATGGTTCACCAGAGCTCTCAGACCCCCACTGAAGAATTTTTGGTAGAGAACCTCTTGGAAGAGTGTCCATATTTCTTTTAAAGTCTTGTAGATCAGGTTTCTTTTTTGTCCCACGAGTAAAGGGGATCTAAAATGTCACCACCCGTAGCTCACCATACAAATGGAAGGCTTGTATACAATGGGGTGCTTACCGGTGCCCAAAGGGGATTCTTCCAGGACTCCACTATTGCTCATTTGGCCAGGGTGTTCATGGATGCTATGAGGGAACTGTTTAGGGACACAATTGCAATAGTGTCTTGTTACCAGCATGCTTGTTCCCTGTCCTTAACCCATGTGGCTTATATATATAAGGAACTGCGAAATGTAAAGTCTTCAGGTGACACCCTCACACAACGGAAGGGAATATTTCTGTATTTTTCAAGAACCTCAGTGTGTATCTAAACTTTTTACAGAGGTGGAACAATGGTGAGCATTTCCAGTGCCTACTCTAATGTGAGTAAGTTCAATTAGTATCATGTTTTCTGTTGGCTGTAAATTTTGTTTGTTTATGAGTCAGAATACACATGGATCCTACTTGATGAGAGGAGTGTCTACTTCTGCTTGGTGGCATGTAGTGTCATGGCAATAGATCTTGCTGTACTTGACTCCCACAATGAGGCTGTCTTTTGAGCACAGATTATCACTAAACATGCTTTGTGTTCATTTAAACATCATTTCTTGCAATGCTGCTAAACAGTATTACTTGCATTTTAAGTGTGCACCACCTTTGGATTGGCATGTAAATAACATCTGACTTGTATTTGTAGGTATTCAGTTGTGCTGACTGAGGTTATTCATATTTTCTGATTCTTTGCACATAAATCCCCAAAAATCCACCCATATTCATCATTCATGATCATACTGTCATCTCAGTAATCACTTCATAACCTCATAGCAAGATTGGGAAGGTACAGTCCACACAGTTTCCACATTCACTTTTTGTACATTGCCATTCTGTATTTGTAGTTGAGAGTGTCCATTTCCATTACTATTGTTACTGTTATTACCAGGACTCCTGTTGTTTATGTTATTGTTACAATTGTAAGATTGAGTGTGACTATAGACAGGGTTCAGATTTGTGTCTCAATTTATTGAACACTTATATACACAACTTGTAACTACAAGTAACTATAACAGCCTCACTTGTTACACACACTAAAGATAACTGTAACTGCAGCACAAATAAAGCCTTCTATGTCTTTCACTAGTCGTTTCTTGGTAATTGATTTTAACAATGTCCTCTGCTTACATCCTTACTGGTGGGCGAATACCCCACAACTCACTCATTCCTCCAACTGTCTAAATCCCAGGCTGACGGTCATCTCACACCAAACTTCTGCTCTTCTCTTCGCTGTCTGACTGACTGCAGCTTCCAACTTGACCCACTTATAATTTCTCACCATGGATCACACAGAAAGCATTGCTCTTCATTGTTGTAATTCAGTTGTTTTCATGGGAATATGTTTGTTTGTGAAGCTGTTATTCAGCAGCGGGTCTATGTGCTACGCTGTTAATAAGGTTCCTGTGGTTACTGCATTTTGGTTTTGGCACTGGAATTTCTCCATGTCATAAGTTTATCAACCTGTGATATTGTTATTACCAATTTTAAGAAATTTAAAACTACAAATTTGGAGTGACCATCAGTGATATAACATATATCAAATTTCATCAAAATTCACCTAATTCTTCTTGAGTTCAAACATGTGGATGGATAGATCGACATGACTAACCCTGTATGTGTTCATTTCTTTTACGTTATGCAAAGACTACACAATAAAGTACAGTAGCAAACCATCACATGATAAGAAATTTATTGAATCTATAGACGGGGTAATGAGATAAATACATTGCTCTGTTTGTAGTGTTAATTACATTCTTAGCTGTAGAACAAGGATCCCAAATTGTGTGTTAATTCTCATGAGTACTTGCCAAGTTGCCATTCCTTTTCTTTCATGATGTGTATGAAGCTCTTAATGTCCTGTTCTGTTGTGTGTTAGGGACTGTAGCAGTGAACGAGGCTCTAACTACTCAGAGTCGGGGAGAGGCGGCAAAAATGACCTGTTGGCACGAAGTAGTGACATGGCAGGTGACTCTCATTCCAATAGTACCCACCAGCAGCAAGCAATGCTGATGTACAAATCATATCGCATTCCATCTGACATGGACTCTCAGATCTCACTTCCAAGGTCATATACACTACCTCGGGAGTTCAAATATTACCGAAGACCGAAGTCAAGGAAAGCCATACGTTCGGAACATTTTGTGGCATCCACAAATTCCAGTGATGGTAGGTTAAGTCATTACTTTCAAAACCCTTCTACTTATAAAAGGCTAATGCTTGTAATACTGTTAGTACATATGTTAGTAGCCAGAGTTGGCAGCCATTATGGATAGGAGCAAGCGGTCGCAACAACAAATGGAATAGGAAGTTATTCTTGTGTCAGAAAAGTTCCCAATATACCTCTAGATAGTTGCATCACTTGGTGCATATTGTTATTCTGTCAAGTTTAATATCTTAGTATAAATGTTGCTATCCTTCCAGAACTTTCAGGTTTATGAGGTAAGGAATGTTTAATGTTTTGTTTTTATAGACAAAATATGTTGCACATGCACAAAAGTCATTTTTCTGTTATGTTGTTGTTTGCTCAAAATTCAGTGACGGTGTTCATAAGTGCAACCATTTTCCATTGATATTGCAATAGGTGTTATGTTGGTGAAGTAATGGAAACACTGCAGGAACTGAAATAACGGAATAAATTGTAGGTGTAGCGAATATATTTATACTCGGTGTTGTATTATTACCGAATACATGCATGAGAAGACCATCACAGTACAACTCCAATTATACGAGGTGTGTTCAAAAAATGACGGGAATTTCCGTATTTTGGAAAAAATATTTATTCATTCGTCTACATTAATGTTGTCGCCTTCAAAATAGTCCCCATTCGATATTATGCACTTACGCCAGCGCTTCTTCCAATCATCGAAACACTTCTCAAACTCGATTTTTGGGATAGCCTTTAGCTCTTTCAGCGATGCGCTTTTAATGTCATCTATGCTTGTAAAACGACGGCCCTTTAAGGTTCTCTTTATTTTTGGAAATAGGAAAAAGTCACACGGAGCCATGTCTGGCGAATATGGAGGCTGGGGCATCGTTACAGTATTGTTTTTGGCCAAGAATTCACGAACAAGCAACGAAGTGTGAGCAGGTGC